TGGCAACATCTACCAAGAATACTTTTTAAGTATTTGTCCGTTGACACAGCAATCCCACCTGCAGGAATCTATCCCAAAGATACACTCACAAAAATAGAAAAAGACTTAACCTGTTCATTGCAGCACTATTTGTTACAGCGGAAGACTGGAAACAACCACGGAGCAGGGAATGGGTTCCCGAAGCTACGGCGCAGTCATACGATGGAGTGCTATGCCACCAGAGAGGGGAAGGAGGAGGCTCCCCCTGTATTACTGTGAGTGGCTTTAAGTTAAAAAAAAAAAAAAAAGGATAGGGGCACCTGGGTGGCTCAGTCATTTAAGCATCTGACTCTTGTTTCTGCTCAGTTCATGATCTCAGGGTCCTGAGATCGAGCCCCACATCAGGCGCTGCGCTCAGTGTGGAGTCTGCCTGTCCTCCCTCTGCTAGTCCCCTACTCTCTTTCTGTCTCTCAAATAAATAAATAAATAAAATCTTTAAAAAAGAAAAGGATATAGTAAGCCACTATTTATCTAAGAAAGAGAAAGTATGACTACATAATATATTTATATTTATATTTAAAAAAATTTGGCTCCATGCCCAGCGTGGAGCCCAGTGTGGGGCTTGAACTTACCACCCTGAGATCAAGACCTGAGCTGAGATCAAGAGACACTCAACCGACTGAGCCACCCAGGTGCCCCGATGTTTATATTTTTAAATGAAAAGATAGGCCATTAAAAAAAGATATATATCAACCAATGGCGATGTATGAAACTTGTTTGGATCCTTATTCAAACAAACTAAAAAAATATATGAAATAAGTGAACACTTTCTGGATATTTGATGATATTAAGGAATTGTGTTACTGGTTTTTAGTTGTGGTAATGGTGTTGTGTTATTGTTTTTAACGAGCCTATCTTTTAGAGATACTTCTCAAAATGTTTCCAAATGAAATGATATGGACATATGTGGTCTTTGCTTCAAAATAATTTTGGAAATAGGGGGGTGGGTGGGAATATAGATGAAACAGGATCGGCCATGGGTTAGTAATTGTTGAAGCTGGTGGTGAATCCATGGGAGTTCCATATACAATTCTCTCTGTGTTTACGTATGTTTAAAATTGTCCACAATAAAATAGCTAGGAAAGCAAAGAACAATGAGAGAGAAGGAAGGGAAGACTCCCCATGCAGTGTGTGTCACAATCTGTAGAAACAATTGTCATGTGTCAAGGAAAGGTTGCACTCTGCAGAGCCATTTTCTGGACAGAACTAAATCCCCAGGTTAACCCGCGGTGTGTCACTTGCACATCTGCATATTCATGGACACATCAAAGAAGAGCATCCTCAGTAGACCCTGGTGCCCCTTAGCCCCCGTGGCCTCTTGACAAACCCTCTCACTCAGGAAGGCAGCTTTGCTGGGCCCCTCTCATCCCTTCAGACATTAACCTCACAGATGGCACCCTGACAACTCAGGGATTGGAGTAGGGTCTTTTTTTATAAAATAACTCCAGAAGCATATTTGAACACAGGAAAAGGGAAGATTTTTTTACAAGTCACCAAAATAAAATGAGCTCTTTAGAAGAGAAGCAGGGGTGTGATGTCAGATGAGGAAGGTTTTCTTTATAAGCACGAGGGAGGAGTATGTCGCCACCTGTCCCCTGCTAGGAGACTCAAGTCTCTGGGTGTGGGGGACCTGCAAAGAGGGTGCGGATGGAGCTGGAAGGCACACTCTGCCCCAGCATCTGGCAAGGAGCGTCTTTTGGGGAAGGGACAGAGCCTCAGAGTCTGTTCCCGGGCTCTCTGCTCCAACCCCTTTGCCCCAAGGAAGCTCTGCTGCTCCCAACAACTGGGAACACCCAGCAAGCTGCCTGACCTCTCGGTAATTCGGGGACAGGACTGCCCACCACACAAGGCGATTATAAGGATTGTGGGCAATTGGTGAGTCATTTCATGGAGATGGCTCCCTGAGCTCTAATTTATCCCCATAGAGCAGACTGATCCGCTAAAGAATGAAAAGCACATTTGCTCCCTAGCTCCTCTGAGCTCTCCTCTCCCCCAAGAGCTCACCCTGGGGGCCCTTGGCTGTCTCCGGTCCTCCCCTCCTCTGCCCCAGGATTGCTCACTGTGCTTATGAGTGCCATTGTATACACACAGCCTCAGGGTTGTTCCCCACTGGCCTGCTTCCTCTTCTCCGTGCTTTTGGTGGCTCTTTGGGATTGCTCCAGGATCTCCACTGCTGTTCTTTAAGGCTAGGGAATGAAGCAAGCCCAATTAGGATGATGTAGAGTGCTTACATCTCTCTCCCTTTCAGTCATTAACAAGCCTACTCCTTCCTCAGCACTCCTTTGTTCCCTTCTCTCTCCTCCCCTCCCCTCCTCCATACCGCTCAGATCCTGCCTGCTGTCAAGATCCAGCTGGAGCCTCACCTCCTCCAGGGAGCCCTCACGGATTGCCAACTCCACACAGATCCTCCTCTCTTCTTTATACACCCTTCTCAGTTACTCTCTTTGCTTTTACACATCACAAGTGATAGCACCCCAGACAAAAAGAAACTCCAAAAGATATTGAATAATGGATTAAATCAAGCAGGACGGAGAGGGCTGAGGAAGGATAACCGTGATGATACCTAATGATTCGTGACACTCACAGGGCACTTTTCACCTCAACTCATTGGACTGACCTTAAGGCCCCAGAAGGGGACACAGGCCAGAACCCTCTGTCCCTTGCCTTTTCCCTCACTCGTAAGGCTTCTCTGGCCCAAACAGCAGTGTGTTTGGAGTATACTCTGTGCCATGCCCCTCTTTACCCATTGTCTCCTTTGCTTCTCACCTCCTTAAGAGGTAGGTAGTCAGAGTGTCCCCATTTTACAGGTGTGGAAACTGAGGCACAGAAAGGAAAAGCCACTTCCCCAAGATCACTCGGCTAGACAGTGACACATTCAGTTTCAAACCAAGCACTCTGCCTCTAAAGCCTCACAACTGGCCCCCAGCTGCACGGAACAGCACAACCAGCAGGGGCCACACTTGGGAGAGCCCTCCGCGGAGGAGACCCAGAAGGGCAGGAGTCTACTGACTCACCAGGGATCAAATGCAGCACAACCAGGCTGAATTAACTGCCATGTGCCCAGCCGGCCAGCTCTGAAGAGTGAAGTCAGATGAGCAGGCCATGTCCAAAGTGGCCAGAGGAGGGAGGAGTGGCCAGATGTTTGTCCTTTGGGATGGACAGGGGAGGACCAGACACAGGTAAGGAGGGCATGCCTCTCTGCCTAGAACATGAAGGGACCACTGCGGGCATGGCAGACAGCCAGAACGGACTGGGCCCCTGCTGCGTGCCAGGCACTCTGATGGGCCTTTGGCATAAGCCATCTCAGGAGACTCAGCACAAAGAGAGAAAGTTAGGGAGGGTCAGAAATCCAGCTGCTGAGCTGGATGACTCAGGGGAGCAGGAAGAAGAGCTTAGACTAGTTTGGGGTGACCAAGAAATGGCCAGTTCACTGTTTAAGCCTTTGGCTGACTCTCCGTTCTGGTGAGTCAGGCTGACAAGGAAACCCAGGGCCATGGCTGGCCCTGAGTGATGCCACAGAGAACCCAGTCCATGCCAGGCCCCACCTGTCCACTGACTGAGCCACAAGGGTTTCTTCCTGCACCTTCAGGTTGGGCAGGGCTGAGATAGGTTGCCCTAGCTGATCCCCTGGGATAGGCCTCGAGCTGGCTAGGGAGGAACACAGAGCCAGGGTCTGTGCAAACAACTGATGGCCTGAGCATCCCAGAGCCAGGTGAGAAGAGACGGAGAACCGGCCGGATAGGGGTACAGCTGCCTAGAGCAGTGGTTCTCAACCAGGGGTGATTTTGTACCCTTCTCCCAGGCATTCAGCAATGTCTAGAGACATCCTTGTAGGAGGTGCCAACAGGGATCTAGTGGGTAGAAGCCAAGAATGCTGCTAAACATCCTTCAGTCCATAGGACAGACCATCACCACCACCCCCAACAGAGAATTATGTGGCCCCCAAACGGCAACAGTACCATGGTTGAGAAACCCTGGTGGAGAGCAAGCTGGGTGAGAGAGGCTTAAATCCAAGCCTCTCCCTGGGACGGAGCTGTCCCTACCCTGAGGAAGAGGCATCCCCTTCCTATCTCAGCCAGATGCAACAGCAATGTGAGGACTAACATGAGCCCCAGGCTGGGGGTGGGGGGTGGGTGGGGAGGAAGCCATGGCAGTGCTAGGGAGGAAGAGAGAAGTACCTGCTGTCACCTAGGCTTTGATTTGTGCAAAAGGCAATTTATAAGAGATGATAGTTCATCTTTAATAGAGGGTCAAAAAGTCAACCCACATGATTATGTCATCTCCTTACTGACAAAGGCAGAGGTTTTAAAGCACTCTGACATACCCACCGGGTGGGAAAGGAAATGTGATCCAAGATCTTCATTATGGAACTATTTCTAATAGCAAAGGATTGGAAACAACACAAATGTCCATCAGTGGTGGACAAGCTAGATAAACAATGGAATACCTGCAAAAGAATGACATTTTCAATGTACAGAAATAGAAAGATCTCCAGAATATATTAAGGGAAAAAAACAAAGTGCAGAACACTGTGGGGGACTGCGCGGCCATTAGGTGAAAGGGAAAGGGAAAAAATTAACGGGTATCGATCGTTGCTTACATTTGCATAAAGCAGGGGGTCTCAAACTTCACTGTGCATCCGAACCACCCAGAGGGCCTTTTTAGCCATACTTCAAACAACATCAGCCTCGCTTTTATTTGGGGGAGGGATGTGGAAAGTACCCACTTTCCTTGCCGAGTGCAATTGCCCAGCTTTCCTGACCCTGGCCGCCCACCAGCCCGACTGGGCCACAGGCTCAGGGCTTCAGACAAAGGCCAGTAAGTGGCCTCTTTCCTAATCACTCCAGCAAACGCCACGAAACTGTTTCTTAACCCTCAAGCGGCTGCTGAATGTGAGAAGTTCCCCCCCCTGGAAGGAATCCCTCAGGAACCAAAGAGTTGGGGCTAATAAAACACCCCCCCACCCCCATCTCCTCCTTCCTTGGGGACCTGAAGGTCTGAATGAAGGTGGCCGAGGGCCAGGGACAAACGTGGCCCTCCAACAACCCCGGTCCCCACCCCGCCCCCGCGAAGAGGGAGGAGCGACGGCTGCCAGGGAGCCTCCCGCGGGCTTTGTGCGCGCCTGGAATCCAGCTGTCGCCGTCCGGCAGAGCCCCCTGCCCCCGGAGGGCGCACATTTCCGGGCCGCCCACCACCCGGATCGCGTCCGGAACCGCTGCGCCCGCAGAGCCCAGAGTTGCTTCTGCCCGCTCCGTGGCCGTCCAGCCCCAGTAGCCCCCCGAAATGCCGGTCGACTTCACCGGGTACTGGAAGATGCTGGCCAACGAGAATTTCGAGGAGTACCTGCGCGCCCTCGGTAAGCAGCTGCTCGCGGCCCTCGGCCCGGGGCGCCCCGCCGGCCAGCGGCTCGGGGACGAGCGGTGGGTTCCCCAGAGCCCTCCTGCGCCCGCCGCCCGCCTGCCTCCGCCGGGGCCAGCCTCCGCTCGGTGCACCCGGCAGGGAAAGGGCCTCGGCCGCCAGGGCTCCGAGGGTGGCCAGCAGGCTGCCAACCGGGAGGGTGGGTGTTGTTCGAGCTAATTAGTAGTAAACATCTGATAGTTGGCTCTAGGCATGGATAACTTCATTAGAAAAGCTGGGTTTAGTTTGCTAGTTTTTGTTTTAAAGGGTCAGTGTAAGAGCAATAAACTTTGTTGCAAGATAAAAAAGAAGAAAGAAAAAGAAAGAGAGAAAGAAAGAAAGAAAAAGAAAGGAAGGAAGGAACCCCCCCCAAGAAAGGCACAGAACTGGCTGCTCGCTAAGACAGCGCTAAGCTCCCCCCCCTCCCCCGCCCAGGAGCTGGCTCCTGGGGCCCTGCTACCTTGGGGATGGTTCTCTGAATTTTCCTGCCAACTCTCTGCCCCTCTCTTCCCTGGCACCCCCTGCAGATGTCAATGTGGCCTTGCGCAAAATCGCCAACTTGCTGAAGCCAGACAAAGAGATCGTGCAGGATGGCGACCATATGATCATCCGCACGCTGAGCACTTTCAGGAACTATATCATGGACTTCCAGGTTGGGAAGGAGTTTGAGGAGGATCTGACGGGCATAGATGACCGCAAGTGCATGGTGAGGATTTGCATATACCAGGGCATCTCCTGCCCAGGGGGCCTGACCAAAGGCTGGGCTACTTCATCTGGGAAGGGAGCGAGGGCCCTTGTATTTTAGGGACCAGGGATCTTCACACTGCCAGCCCACAAAGTTGACAGCATGGACTCATCAAGCATACCGCTCTGTCTAAACAGGATAGTAATGGTTATGAAAGCTGCAGTTTGTTGAGTCTCTAACTCAGGCACTGAGCCAGGTGCTTTATACATTCAACTTCACCTAATCCTCACAACAACCTGTGAGGGAGGTTTGAGTATGCCCATTTTACAGATGAGGAAACAATCTCAAAGAGATGAGTAACATGCCCAGCATAGCACTGTGAGGGAGGAGCTGGGCTAGAACTCCCCACAAGTCTGTTGACTCTGTTCGCCTCTGGCTGTAGCGCCATGGCATAATGGAGGAAGGAAAGAAGAAACACAGGGAACCCTTTTCAAGTGTAAAACTTTCTATATGCTCTAGCATTAAGCCACTCTAGGAAACAGGGGACGGCACAATCTCCTGGAAGCCTCTGACCCGCCCCACCTCATCCCCAGACTGAGATCTGGCTCCTGGCCATCCCCTTCCCTGCCCAGCCCTCCACTGCCTGCTGAGCTGCCTTGGAACTTTGCAGCCAATCCCCACTCAGCAGGTCAGTGCCACTGCAGCTGGGGCTAGAGGAAGCCTTCCTGCAGGAGGGGGAGGGAAGGCAGCAGCCCATCCCCCAGGGCGGGAAGCTGATGACCTGGAGACCCCAATTAGCGTTTCCACAGCAAACTCTGAAAGGTCAGCCCCAAGTCTCCACCAACATTCTGGGGTCATTGGAAGGTCAGGGTGCTCCCGGAATCCCTTTCACAGTCTTGGCTGCAGAGCTAGGGTATGCTCACCCCCAGGCAGCTGCCTTCTCCCCTCCCACTCCGGCCATTTACCCAAGGTCTGCTGTGTGTCCTACAACCGTGCCAGTTATTTTACACACAGCCCAGTGAGGGAGAGATTCAGGACCCCATAATATGCAATGACCAAGGCCCCGAGAGGGGAAGAGGCTTGCAAGAGATGGGATTTGAACCATAGGCCTTTGGACTTTGAAGCCCACCCTCCTGCTCTCAGCCAGGTGCCTCTCTGTTCTTCGCCTTTGCAGAACCCAGATGGTGGAGGTTAGCTGCCACTGGAGTTGAAGGGGTGCCAGTGGGTGAGGATAAGGAGCCCCAGGCCTGGACTCCTCACTACCCCCCTTGTTGATTCATCTGACAGGAATCAGGAGTCAGTGTCTGAGTCTGCTGTTTGGAATGATGGCAGAAGAGGGGGTAGCCAGCAGGGAGTGTCTTTGGAGAAGCCAGTATGATTGTAGAAACGTGTCAGCTTGCGCCCTTAAAGGACCTAAGGCCTTGGAATCCTCGGAGGGGCTCACAGTGGGAAAGGAGAGCAACAGACAGTGTCTGCCTTGGTGAGGTGGGGCCCTGCCTTTCAGATCACTGCCCGGGATCTGCTCCCTGGCCTGCTGCATGCAACTGCGCTGTGAGGACACTCCTTGTCCCCAGCTCACTCTTAGGGTGCTCACAGAGCACATCAGACACCCCTATCTGTTTTGGGTCACTGCAACTTCTGGAATGTGCTGGCTTGTACTTACTTGGCTAATCATCTTCCGTCTTGCATTCCCTCCGTCATCCGATAATGTGTGAAACATGAATTGATCACCTAGTAATACGAGCTGGTGCTTATTAGTGCTGATGTTACTATTTTATTTCAACTCACTCTTCACAGTACTGTTTTCAACCGCATTTTACAGATAAGAAAACCAAGGCAGGATTTCTCACTGTGAGACATTGGGGGGGTTAAGTAAGTGGCCGAGGGAGGATTTGCATTTTGTCTGCCAGCTCCAGAGTCCCTGCCGTTCCCCACGGCCCCGGACCTACCGCTTTCCTCCCACGCTCATACAGGGACGTGGAGGAGAATGTTGCAATCCCTGGTGTCCAGGAGCTCACAGTCTTTGTGGTGGAGACAGACACACAAACTGTCAGAACATAGTGTGATCAGTGGTGACAAAGGGAAGTACCCAGAGGAGGGGATCCCAGAAGGACATCTGGAGGAGGTGATTTCTACACAAGACAAAAGGGGGAGAAGGAAGGGTTTCAGACACAAAGGAAGGGGCACATGGCCGCCTTCTTTTCTCAGCCCAGAAAAAGGACATTAGGACAACCCAGGTGACCAGATCAGGGAGCCCAGCAGCTGGGCAAACCAGATGGGATTGGACTAGGCCTCATGGTCACCTTTGCTGTCTCCAGACTCAGGGCGGCCCCCTCTCAGGTATACGGCACTCACGTACCTTGCTGTTGCTGTTGGGGGGGATGGACGGCCCCCCTGCTCCGGCCTCCCCTTGGCCCTTCCCATTGCAGAGAAGCCCTTCTTCTTGGGACTGCCAACTGGATGGAGGCCTACAGGGAAGAGCATGGCCAGGGGAGGGTGTAGGAGAATACAATTACAGCAACCGTCCAGCTCGAGGCTTGCAAATGCAGAGGAGCTGCCTGCCAAGAGGTCACCTTGGCTGAGGTGTGTGGGGCCCATGGGGGTCCTGGGCAAGGCGGTTGCCAGAGGTAACTTTCACCACTGCCCCTTCTGCTCCACACGATCTGCACCCACCTGCCAGGAGTAGCATCCGGGAGGAGGCCAATCTGTTCTCAGCACCAGGCTGGCTTCATTCCGAGCTTCCTCACAAGGGTCTCATTTCTCACCTGGGATCATTCATCTGTTTTGTTCATCCGTTTCTCGGTCCCACAGGCATTTCATGGTACTTACTCTATCTTGGCAGCACCTGTGTTACTGAGATGAACTGCACAAGATTCCTGGCCTCATAGAGCTCAGGGCAGTGGGGAGGCCAGCCACGTGGTGCTTGCTGTGTGGATGGGGGCAGGGCAGCCCGAGGAGGACCCCCTACCGGGTCTGGGAAGTCCAGGAAGGTTCCCACAGGAAGTAGTCTGAACCGCAGCTTGAAGGATAGACAGGAAACAGCCAGGCAAACTGAAAGGGGACAAGAGGGAGGCCAAGGTCAGGGGAAGAGCAGTCGGTAAATGCTATTTCAGACCTGTCCCACCCCGGGCTCTGGGTTCAGCCCTGGGGACCCAGAGGCAGCAAGGCCTCCCGGAGCACCCAGGCCTGTGGAGGAGACAGATGCATCCTCAGGCCATTTTCTTCAGTGAGGGAAGCCCAGTGGGCTGAGGACTACGGTGTGGAGGGGTGAGGAAGCAGTGGTCATCAAAGTTGCCCGGCTGAGGGGACCTTGAAAGACCAGTAAGAATTAGGGCAGACGTGGAAGAGGGATAGAGCATTCCAGGCCGAGGGAACCATAAAGAACAAAGGCCCAGGGGTCAGAAAAGGCCCTGTTGGGAGAGGGTTTCGGAGGGGAGAGAGGGGCAGTCCTCAAAGACTGGAGTGCAAGATGTGGCCGGGGAAATGGGAGTGATGAGGACCCAGCAGGGAGCCTAGATGCAGCTCTGACTGGCTACAGGGACCCCTTGCCAGGAGGCGCGCAGTCAGACTGACACCCTTCCCCAAAGCGCCCAGGGGCTTGCCGGCTCAGTGACCTCTGGTTCTGCCTCCTTCTGTGCAAACATTATCTGTGCTCTAGAACTGCGGCCTGCAGATGTGTCTTGTTTGGCCTGCACAATGTTTGAAAAATTTCAGAGCCAGTTGCCAATGATTGCCGGAGACGGTGAGATTTCAAAGAAAAGTCTGTATTTCTGGCTGTTCTAACCAACCAAGTCAAGATTGCTGAAAACACTGGGTGCCCATTTCTTCTACCCTGGGTGCTGTGTGGGCTCCCGGGACACTGTCACAGTGCTACTTTAGATGGGACATTCTCCAGCTCGCTGCAGGCCTCACCCCACCCTGTTACCTGAGGTCAAGCGGCCAGATGTCTTTGTTTGCCTTGTGGGTTCCTTAGAGCGGCGCTTCCCGAAGCGCAGACCTGCAGCAGTGGCACAAGAACTAGGGAGAGACATAAATTCTCCAGCCACAGCCCTGGCCTACTGAATCAGATCCTCTGGCCATGGGGCCAGCGGTCTGGGGTTCAGTGAGCGTGCCCCGCGGCTCTGATGCCACTGAAGCTTTAGAACCACTGCTCTGGAGGAAAGAAACATCTCTGTGTACCTGCATCTCCATAGACAGTGGGAAAACTAGAACGTCAGCTGCAGAGGGCCATGTGCCACTGGCTGGTTGGGTCCAGCCATCTGCCTCCCATGGACATTGCCATCCGTGCCCAGAGCCACCGGGGAGTGGCTCTCCGTTCTTCTGCCAGGCTGAGGGCTGGAGGACACAGATCTGTGTGGGCAGGATCACACAGCTCACATTTCCCGGTCTGTTCCCGGTCCGTTTGACATGACCCGCAAGCAGCAGGGGCTGTCATTTTGGTGGAAATGTGTAAGGACCGGGTGTGGCTTTGCTCTGCGCTGCCTCCTGCATGTCTTTATCCACGGAAAGGAAACCTCCAGCCCGGTCTGAAACCAATATCATGTATTAAATCTAGCCCATGGAGCTTTGGCAGGGTGGGGGAGCCGGAATGAGGAAGGTGCCCCTCAACTTCAGGTAGTGTTCCCCACTCCTGGGCCTGGGAATCCCTTGGAATGAGGACTGATTGGGTTCCTTGTAGCAGGCTGTCCCCAGCAGGAGCCGCATTTGTGGTAGAAGGCAGCCTTGGTCAGCAATCACAGCCGGGAGCCCCTCTCCGCCCGGTGGCAACAGAAGGGCCATTTGTCATCCCACCGTGGACACCGCGTCAGGCTTGCCCTGGAGGGGGCACCTTTGTTCATGTGGGAGCCTGGCGCCTCCTCCCCTTGATGTGGCTTCTTCTTCAGATCCAGCTGTGAACTCAGGATGACCCCTTGCACAGAGCCTCACTTCCGAAAAAAAAGGTCTCCACCCCTCCGTTGCTTTCTTTGTTTTTATTGTAAAAGGAAAAAAAGAATTCAAATAGCCCAGGAGAGAGTGGACTG